TCGTGGCCGGGAGCGGCCACTGCACTCCAGTCTGGGTGACAGAGTGAGACTCCAACTCAAAAACAAACAAAACAAAACAAACAAACAAAAAATAAACTTTGTGAGCAGAAGGCATTGAAGAAACATTCCAAGAAGGGGTTTTCCTCTCTGCTTCTGTGTATGCCTTGACTGGCTCCTGCCATGCACATGGTGTCTCCAGCATCTGGCTCAGTGGCATGCACAGCTCCACCCACGCCCAATTCTGCAGTGCAGGCTGCTTCTACAGCACCTGGCTTCTGCTGTTCACAGTGGCCAGCAGAACCCAGCAGCCAAGAGCTCCTCCTGACACTGTCCTTGGCCAAAATAGTCATCTCCTCATAAACAGCTTCCACGGTAGCCCAGAAAGCAATTTTCTGAGAAGTTCTGAGGTGTGGACTTGTAGCAAATTCTGCAAGGGCATAACAGCAGCTTCTTTTTGAATAAGACAGGAAACCACTCATACTGTGTCCTCTCCCTCTATTCTCCCAGAAGAAAAGAAAAATCATCAAGAGCAAATGGCAGCCACAGCAAAGCAGCACTGAGAGTCACTTCACCTCAGGAGAGAAGGTTGAACCTTGCCCTCGTGGCTTCAGATAAACTTCTCTAGTAACATACTTTAGAAATGTTTCCTGAAAGTACCCGAGTCTTTTAGCACTGAGTGAAACCATGGGTTGAGGGGACTCTTCACTGGCTGCTCCAACCTCATCCTAGGGACAACTGCCACTCCTGGGTCTACTCTTTAGAATTCTCCTTACCTTTTACTGGACAATACTTAATTGCTCCAACACTGTTGTAATTAACCATTTTTCATCTTCAATTTCCCTATTCACATTACTGTGTGGTTTCTCTGTCTTGATGTACCTTGACTGATAAATCCTATGTCCATGTAAGTGAATGCTCTATATAAGGGAAATGTGGGGAAATGAAGCCACAATGATACACAGATGAACTCTCAAAGATAAGTGGAAAGATCAAATACTAGAAAAATATACCTGGTATGATTTTATTTATTAAAAAAAGTTCAAAAAATGCATAAAGCCAAAACATGTAGGGGACACAGCCACGTGAGCTAAAATTATAAATGAAAACAGAGGTAAATAAAATTATAAATGAAAATAAAGATAAGCTGAAATTCTGAAGACTGATTATCTCTGGCAAAAAAGGCACAACTGTCAGGAGTACATGAGGGTCCGAAGTTACTTGTAATGTTCCTTACGTAATCTGGTTGTTGCATTTACAAATATCCATCTCATTACCATTTTCTACTACATATATGCTATGTTACAGCCTTTATACAAACTATTTTTAAATTTTCCTTATGCTATCGAGTGCTGTGGAACAATTCCTTATGCTATAGAGTGACTGCATTTACTATCAGTGTGATTAGATCAGAGTTTCTCAACTTGTGTGCTAAGATAGTGATCCTCTCAGGCTTGGAGGACCAGGCAGGCCTGAGGCCTCTGGTGTAGTCTTGTGCATTTCTCCCAGTTTGCTCGATGACAAACTCATGTTTTTCTATGTGTGTAATGAATGAATACATTTGTAAGGACTATATCAGACTTGATTCCTTGGTAATTTCAGATAAGTTTTTACTATTGTAGACTGTTCTCTTTACTTTTAATATTTAGGGCAACTTTTTAACTTCAGAACAATATTTTATAATTATAGAATAAAAATTGTCCCCATTTTTCATTTTTGATCTGTAGGAAAAAAATACACATATACACACTCATATATACCCCCGCCACACACAAATATATATAATCTCCAACTTTATTTTTAATTTATCAATATACACAGTTTAAATTTATCAATATACCTTATCATGATTCTGAGTGATATGTTGTACAAATTCAATATGGGTTTTCTGAAGAAACTTCTTAGGCTACTTCTTTCAAAATCCCTGCTGCAGCCTGTACTGTGAAGGCTGCGATAGAAATCTGTCTCTTCACTTCTCCCCATGCCTTAACAGGATCCACTTTGCTTTCAATGTCAAACAGAGCATCATAAATTCCTGGGAATGACTCCCCCACATACTTGTTGTGGCTGCTTGGAGCATAGATGATGTGCCTGTTCACAAAATAGCTTGTTGTATTAGTTGCCCAAATAATATACAAGAGAAAACACAAGAACACTCCACAATTCCCAAATTGTTAATTCCTAAGTTATGGTTTGAATAAGCCACTAAACTTCCAAGTTCAATAAACTTTAAAGGCAAGTCTATGAAATACATATTAATTAATTATATTTTGACTTCAAACAGGTAACTTCAGAGCTCCAACAGTAACGGCAATGATAGTAACAACAGCTGGTAATCGATTAGGGATTATGTTGGCATTAAAGACTTTTGCTTTTTTTTCTAATCCTTAAAAATAACTCTACAATGTTGACATTACTATTTCACAGAGAAGGAAACTGAAATCTGAGGGATTAAGTGATTAAATAATTTGTCTCAAGGCACATTGCGAATAAATGCTGATTTTTTACTACACTACAATACCCTCTGAATGATACCACGAATGTGATAATTAAAGTTTCCTGTTTGTGATCATCAGCCTTCTAATGTGGTGGTTTTTTTTTTCCTTTTTAAAAAAGTTATGCTGACTATTAGGATGTTTAGCATAAAGCATGAAGAATCATTAAAAACACGTTGCAACGATCCTGTTTAAACCTGACCTACGCAGAAGATGCTTATTGAAGGAGCTAAGCCAGTTCACGTCAAACCCTGGAAGAGAAGGACAAGCTCCAGGACAGAGGAACAGAAGCAGGAGGCACAGTCTCTCTGCCGGGGAAACAGTCACCTTGTGGGATGATGCTCCTCTCCCAACGCCCACCTGACAATCACCAGGCAGAAAAATGGGGCTGTCACTGGCTGTTCAGTGATCTAACTCATTCTGCAATACTCAGGAAGACCAGCCTGGGAACAGTTTGTGTTGATTAGGAATAGTTACAATTATCAAGATTTAGGAGGGAAGACAAACCCTAAATGTCAACATTAAGGGAGTAAATAAATATATATGTGTCATGTATTACTTATATTTCACATAAATATATTGTGTTATGTGTACACATAAACACAAATATTCAGAGTATAGCAAAATATGTATACACATTTTAAGAGATGTGATCTATTTATTACTTTTTAAAGTTGAATTGAATTATGGTGGCAATGTGTAATTGCAGAAGTCAAACGTGACTTGTATTCGTCTTTTGTTATTGGTATATATTGAGTATTTACAATTTTAATACAGTTTTTCCTTTCTTAAATTCATTTTTCACAGTGCAAAAAATTTTGACAAAGTGATATTATAGCAGGAAGTAATTTTTGCTTTTCTTACCTATAAAAAGGCCTATCTGGTAACCCTAAAGGATCAGTAAATGCTCGTTCCAGAAACATCAATTGATCATTCATCATTCTCAATAATATTGGGCTAAAAAAGAAAATGAATGAGATTATAACTTCATGAAAATATATGTACTAACCAGCAAACTAAAATTCAGAATAAAACTAAATTTACCTCATCAGTCACCCCTGAGGATTGGTCTAAGACCATCCCCTATAATATCACATATACTCAAGTCCCACAGGGAGCCAGGTACATATGAAAAGTTGACCCTCTATATATGTGGGTTTCATCCCTTGAAAACTGTTTTTCTTTTCTCTCTCTCTTCCTTCTTTCTTTTCTTCCTTCCTTTTTGCTTTTTTTTTTTAGAGATGGGGGTCTCACTCTGTTGCCTAGGCTGGAGTGCAGTGGTATGACTGCAGCTCACTGCAACCTCAAACTCCTGGGTTCAAGCTATCCTCCCACCTCAGTTTTTAATTGGATAAGATTACAGTGAATGATTTTCTTTCTTTTTTAAAAGATAAGGTCTTGCTCTGTTTAAATCATAGCCTACTGTAACCTTGAATTCCTAAGCTCAAGCAATCCTCCTGCCTCAGCCTCCTGAGTAGCTAGGACTACAGGCATGCACCATCACACCCATCTAATTTTTTTTTTTCAGAGGTGGGGTCTCACAATATTGACCAGGCTGGTCTCAAGCAGTCCTCCCACCTCGGTCTCCCAAAGTGCTGGGAATACAGACATGAGCCACTGTGCCTGGCCAAATATTGTATTTTTTATCAACATATTGTATTTTCTATGAACATCTGCTTGCAGATATGAAGCCCACCCATAGGACTGGCTGACTGTATTTATGGAAACAAAAAAACCTGTGTATAAGTGAACCTTCTCAGTTCAGATCAAACTGAGAAGGTTCACTTATAACACAAACTGTTGTTCAAGGGTCAATGATCAATTTTCAATTCCACAAAAACAGTTGCATGTGCCAATAGAAACGATGATAGTAATTTGTATTTATATAGGAATAACATTTAATTGATATGCCTAGATATATAAATATAGACAAGATTTTTTTTCACTTTAGGAATACTAATAATCCACTCACAATAATGAAATGACATAATCTTCTAATATTTAGTAAGATACCTGGCAAATTATAAATATTTACCAAGTGATAACTGATCATTTTTTTATTCTTATTACTAAAGATAAACATTATGAACACAACAGGTGGTCTTTACTTCATTCTTGTCACAATACCTGGATGCCTGATATATATCCAACACTCCCTGCTCTCACTGAACTCACATCCCAAAAGGGGGTTGATGGAGTTGTTATTTTCATCAGAATAAGTCACTTACCAACAAGCCTTTGAATAGTTCAACAATGAGTTACTGAGTTCAGCATACTAATTCTGTCATAATCTAATTAACTAATAAGAAACAATCATTATAATAAGAGTATATCCTGTTCACTAATTTAATTAGTTAGCTCTTATTTTTTATAAGTTAGTATTGATAATAACAGCATTTAGTGATTGCTTCCTATGGGCCAATTACTGTTTTGATTCTGTATACAGTATTTTTTTAATCTTCAGAGAATTATTGCAAGTTAGACACAGCTCCATTTTGTAGATGAGATTATTAAGAATCGGTAATTACATAACTTGGCCAGGCATGGTGGCTCATACCTGTAGCCCCAGCACTTTGAGAGGCTGAGGAGGGAGAACTGCTCAGGAGTCTAAAACAAGCCTGAGAAACATAGTGAGACCTTGTCTCTACAGATAATTTAAAAAATTATTCGAGAATGGTGGTGTGCTCCTGTAGTCCCAACTACACAGGAGGATGAGGCAGAAGGATTGCCTGAGCCCAGGAGGTCAAGGCTGTGGTGAGCCATAATCGTGCCACTGCACTCTAGCTTGGGTGACAGAATGAGACTCCAACTCTACATAAATACATACATACACACATACAGAACTTGCCCAAGTTAATATTTAAAAGTTTTAGAGTGAAATAGATCAGTATTGTGTTCTTTTAACTCTTCTTTTAACAAAATGAAAATGGGAAACTAAAGCCCCATAGTTTGGATTTGAGCTACTTTCAGCATTTATTTATGTAGCATTATGAACTCCGGTTTTGTGATGGTGTTAAGGTAAATAAGACATAGGCTTCAGCTGTTAGTAGTTCACATAAATATAAGAGACCACATAATGAAAGATAATGTCAATAAGAGGCTATAGGTTTCTGAATCAAATTAACAAAGCACTGCTACAAATACAAAGACTTATGTGGATATACACACATATAAAAACACACACCTCTCCCTCTCTCTCTCTCTCTCTCTCTCTCTCTCTCTCTCTCTCTCACACACACACACACACACACACACACACACACACAAATTCTCTTTCTTCCTCTCTTTCTGGGCTATCACTAAAAACTCCAGATGATCCTTGTACACAGTAGAGTTCAATTCAAAGTAATCCTGGAAGGTCACTACACTATAGGTGGTATTTGCTTCATTCTTGTCACAATACTTGGATGCCTGATACACACCCAACACTTCCTGCTCTCACAGAATTCACATCCCAAAAGGGGTGAGTAGAAATGAGTAGGCAGAATCTTTTCACTCTTGAAACATGTTGACCTCCTCAGGGATGACTGGAGGACTACAGGTCTTGGGGTTGACTCCTATGTGAATAGGAAGGGCCCCAAGAGTCAACACCTGCATCCTTTGATGAGGCAAATGAATGATACCAGAAAAGCAGACTTTAAAAGTAACTCTTCTGTAGATTTCAAAGTTTTTGTTGAGAAATTCAACATTCAGTTGAGTTTATTTAGCAAGCATTTACTGTTATTATGTGAAATGCACAGCCCAGGTGTTTTAGGGTTTGTAAGTATATAAAGACACAGACTGTAACTTAACTATCATTTAGAGAAAATAAGACAAATACAGAAATACTTAGAAAAGGAAAGCTGAGTGTACCACATAAACCATAACTCAAACCATGAAGCAGTTTGTCATGGGGAGGAAAGTTTTTTAAAGATAGAAAAATCAGCTGCATAGAATACATGGTGTTTGAGATCTCCCTTAAATGTATTTCTCATTATAGATGTTTTTCAATCCACATAAAAACCTTGAAAAGAACTGTAAAGAATAATAAAACAATTTGCTGATATTCCCCTTGGAATAACACAATTATTAATTGTTTAACTCTCATTAAGTTTCTCCATATTTGTTCAATAAAAATTAATAAAACTATGTGTATAATTTTATATTATTTCTGCTTACTTAATAATGTATTATAAATATCTTATTATACTGTGTTTATAATCATCAATTTTAATGGTTAAAAAATGTTCAAATTGATGAATGTCAAATTTTTTAGTAATTTCTCTCATGCATTAGGTTGTTTTGAATTATTTGTTATTATCATTTTAGAATTCCTTTTTATAAGCAGTCTTTTTTCTCCAAAATTTAGACTTTTTTCTTAAGAAAAAATTCAAGAAATGAAAATACTATGTCAAAGTATAAGAACTCCATGACATCTCTTGAAACTTTAGCAATATTGATTCTTTTCAAAAGTTAAAATTCACAATGCTTTAAGAAAAGCATGAAAATGCAATCAAGTTTGAAATTGTTATTAATTTGATAATAAATTTATCATTATTTTCATTTGTATCTTTGAATTAGTGAACTGCAATATTTTACTATATGTTTCTTTACAGGTGTATCTTTGACAAATTTTTTGAATTGTCTTACCCATTACCAATATTTCCAACTTGTCTCTTTATATTTTCTTATCAATTTTCAAAACATATTTTTATAATATATATATTACTCACTATATTTAGCTGGAAAATAAGTTTCCAGCTCTTTTCTCTTTGTTTTTGAGTACTAATTTTCATATTCTGAACCATGTTAATGTTCACAAATTTCCCAGCATTGTTTCTCTGTTGATTGTAAACTTTGCATCTCTCTTTCAAGAAATTTCCATTTTTAATGAATAATTCTTCTACACCTGTTATTTATGTTTACATACAGTGTGAACTGAAGCAGGTACTCTCATGCTTTTCTGATGTGAGATTCTGAGTTTACTTTTTAACCAGTTACTTAAAAAACTTATGAAATATGTTTGCTGTATAATTCTTTCTTTCCCCATTGATTATTGCTACATCCTTCATTACAAATACTTGCTTATACATCACTGAATTTCCAGTTCTTACCTTTCTATGTATTCTTACATCAGTTCCCAAGGATTTCCAATCTATAGCATGACGATGTTGACCCTTAAAATACTACTTTTAAAATTTTTTCCTTAATAGTCTCATGATTTTTAATTCTACCTTAATTTTTATTATATTTTACTTTTCTTATTTTATACAGAATTAATCCCAAATGTGTGACATTTCCAAAAATAGTGGTTTCAATATTTACTACTTGGATACATAGAATTTTGCCAGCCGGAAGTGGAAATGAGGAACTCTATGTGAAGGTAATGACTTCTAGAAGAGGAGGAAAGAAAGTATGCTCTGGAAATAAAGGAATCTGACTGACATATGATGCAGATACTGAAAGAATAGCAGATAACACAGAGAAAGCTGAGGCCACACAGTGGAGGCTCGTCAGTGTCAGAAAGGTGTGTTTTAACTAATCAGCTGACAATAGAGAGGCACTGGCATTTCAGAGCAGCACAATTCCCACTCAGAATGTGAGAGATAGGTCTTTGAGAGGCAGAGCAGCCCTGTACAGGACATGTTAGAGTAGGGAGATAAAATTAAAAGGTAAAGCCTCTCCAGAGATATTTCAGCAATGATGATGTAAAATTAGCATTTCCTTTTAATCATATTCATTATATTCAAAACGTATGCATATATGTAGAACATACTTGCTTTTGTCAATGTCTTGTAGTCTTTTGCTGAACTTAGAGGCAATTTCTGTAAAATTCTTTACTGCAGAAAAAAGTGAATCTGAAATAGAAATTAGGATCATCAAAAGCTTTAAAAATATGCTTTCTAATGGCATCGTTCTATAGTTCAAGAAAAGGAAACTATATCGAAAGTACCCAGTCGGGCTTGGTGGCTCAGCCTGTAATCCTGCGCTTTGGGAGGCTGAGGTGAGTGGATTACCTCAGTCTGCAATTTTGAGACCCACCTGGGCAACTTGGCGAGACCTCATCTCTACAATAAATCAAAAAATTAGCCGGGCATGGTAGCGTGCGCCTGTAGTTCCAGCTACTTGGAGCAGCCACTGCACTCTGGTCTGGGCAACAGAGTGAGACTCCAACTCAAAAAAAAAAAAAAAAGTACCCTCTTTTATCTTTTACAAGTTATTCATATTTGTCTAAGATGTGAACATCCATAAAATGGAAAACACATTTATAGACATATACAGAATATCTGATCATTTAGAATAGTGATAAATAATACATGGCCTAAGCTAGGTCATAACATTTAGAGATTAATGAAAACATACAGATAATGAATTTTGAAAGAGGAAGAGTAACATACCAAATGACACACTGTAGGTTTTCATTTCCTGTGGGTGTTTCATTGAGATATTATATATTTTGTCAGCATACTTCCTTAAAACTACAGCATAGTCTCGACAGTCAAAAGGGAGCACTACAGAGTTAGCTAGTTCAAACACCATCCCTCCTCGAATCTGGGCCACAGTGAGGTGATATTTAAACGTTGGATCATAAAATTTTTCCACCAACTCATATGTTTCATAGACACTGTGATATAGTGGATAGCTGCTGAATTTGTTTGCTTCCTACAAGAAAAAAAAAGAAATATGTACAATGACTTATAATGTTTGTGACCAGTCTGGGTAACATAGTGAAACTCTGTCTTAAACAAATAAAAAATAGCATAATCAACATTTGTATATCCAACCTTGAATTGTATTCCACATTCTTTATAATAAAATAATAAATAAATAAATAACTTGTAATAAAATGCATAGCACAGCATTTACTATTAATATTAGTAAGAATGTTTGATCAATAATGAATAAAGGTAGTACTTAATTTCCTCAATAAGCTGCATACTAAAAGATCTAATATTATAATATATAAACACACTTCAGGCTTGAACCAATTAAAATATGTGAATATGATATGAACAATATTATTACAAAATTCTTTTGGAGATACCTCACAAACTTGCCTTTACAAATACAGGAAGCTGGGCTCAGTTGGCTCAGCCTGTAACCCCAGCGCTTTGGGAGGCTGAGGTGAGTGCATTGCCTGAGCCCACAGGTTCGAGACCTGCCTGGGCAACTTGGCGAGACCTCATCTGTACAATAAATCAAAAAATTAGCCAGGCGTGGTAGCGT